GGGGGGGGGGGGGGGGGGGGGGGGCACTTTGAGTGAGTAGTCCATAGCTGTGAAGGCGCCAGCAGTTAAGACAGTCGTGTCGAGAATGAAGCATCTGCGAGGGAGCTGCTGTTGTACCTTTTGTTAAGTGTATAAGCTCTGTAGTGAGTTCTGCGAGTGTGTGTCCACGTGACTTGTGTATGGGGGAGGGGAAGCCGGGGTGTCTCATGATGTCAGGTTTGTCTGGCCGTGAGCGTCTCTCCCCGTTTGTCAGTATTTAGTTGCCCCCCCCCCCCGGTCCTGGGTGCCTGTGTAAAAGCAGGACCAGGGGGCCCATATTATCCTTTCCCAGGCCCCTCCCTCCGAACTGGGCAGGCTGAGTGAGGCCTCAGGAAGTGGGTGTGTTTGCTGGAGAGGGCATGGCGGCCCGAGGGTGGGGGGCTGGGGCGAGGGGGTGGAGACAGCCCGCGGGGCAGCCAGGCTGCTGCAGAGTGAGAGTGGGGGTTCCTGGAATGCCCCCCCCCCCCAATGCGTTGGTGGGCGTCAGAGCAGGAAAGAAGGGGGGCATATTTTACCCCGCTTCCCGTTGGCTCGCATTTACAATGTGGTTCGCGGACGTGTCGTTCTGAACCAGCCTGGACTCTGGAGCGCTCTCTTGACCGGCGTGGGTGTGCTGGACTGCTCTCGCCACTGGGAGAGGCCTAACTGACCTGGGCCCATTGCCCACCCCTCCAGCCCCTCACGGGGACAGAGGGTTTTTGTAAGTGTAAGTGAGCCCGGCCGGTTGGGAGGGACGAAGGGGCCAGCGGTGTCAGGGAGGAGGTGCCCGTGAGGAGAACTCGGAGCCCGTGAGGAGAACTCGGAGCCCGTGAGGAGAACTCGGAGCCCGTGAGGAGAACTCGGAGCCCGTGAGGAGAACTCAGAGCCCGTGAGGAGAACTCGGAGCTGCCTGGAAACGCGGAGGGGAAAAGGCGCTTTTAATTAGCTAGGGGCCGCATTGGGGCCCTGCGGACAGGATGCGGGGGTCAGGGGCCCCTGGTCGGGCTCCGGGCGCCTGCCACGGACTCCGGCGCTGTGGTGGACCTTTTTGGAGCTGCAGCATGCGTAGCCTTGAAAGGAACAGTCTGGAACTCGATCATGTAGCCTCCAGATGAGAGCCCGGCACTCAACAACGATGATCGGTCTGAACTTCAGCTTGCAGGAGCTGCTCAGGAAGTTTGAACAGGTATATAACCCGCTGCCCCCCACCCCGGGAGGAGGGGGGGTGGGTGGAAGCTGAGAGAGTGATGGCGTGTGCCGCCGCCAGGTCACGTTACTGCTCTGGCCGGCAGCGGACTCCGGCGCAGTGAAAGCTCATTATAAACAAACACGGAAAGGTCACCCCCCCTGGGGCGGTGGGGGGGAGGGCACAGAGACCCGCTTTCCCGCCATCTCTCACTTGCGTCCTTTTGAAAGTGGAGCAGTCTAAATTTAATTGTGGGTGGTGGTGGTGGGGTGCTCTAAACGAGACAAGGCAATTATTTAATGTAATAAAAGGAGCCGGTTTTCCTTATTGCCCTCTTAAATGTGTTATTCCGCCCGAGGCGCGGGGGGGGGTGGACCTGGCTCTCAAAACGCTCTATAGGGACTTGTCGGTGGTGGGGACACATGGACCTTTCAGGCTGTTCCTGACTCTTTCTGATGAGCTAAGTGAGGCTCCCCCGCAAGGAGCCGGCGTTCCGATAGGTGCACCAACATGGCTGGCTTCGTGGATCCTGCCGCTCTTCACTTTCTACCATTTCTCTTTTTCCACTGGAATGCCCCCCCATTAACTGAGGCCCTCATTTTCCCTGTCCACTGAGCTAACGCGCCCACAGTGTACTGTCCCTCCCTGCCACGCCTGAGGCTGCACTAAGGGCTAAATAGCATTTTATGGCAGCTTGATTTGTCCCTGACTGGTTACTGCCTGTGTTTCTCACATCCAGGTTACCCAACAACGCAGCGTTGGGTCGTACCTTGGTCTGCACTACAGTTTCAGAGGGAAGGGGGGGGGGGGGGCACTGTCCTGGGGGAGCAGGCAGGACGTTCCTGCCGTGATATATTATACCAGGCTGGAAAACTCCCGTTTTCCTTTGGCCAAAATGTTTGTCACGTGTACAGATGGAGATCAGTAAAGCGTTCTTGTGGCCAGATAAGGATCATATATTTTTTTTGAACAGGAATAAAAAGTTTTTGCTCTCCACATTGCATGTCGTACAGAGGTATAGGGCACGGCCAGGGCATGGGTGAACGTTAACCCATAATGTTTTGTGTGGAATTTCAGGTTTGGGGTGTGGGGGACATGCCAGGTACCGGATCGCCTTGCTGCTCGTTGGCACGGAGGTGATGGTGTTTGAGAGCAGTGTGAATGGGCCTCTTGTCCTGCCCAGTGAGTCCATGCCTGACTGGGATTAACCCAAGGGCCCTTTTTAATGAGACCTGTTGGCAAAGCCCTCATTGGAATATTACTCCAAATAACATGAAAATAACAGATATGGACACTAGGATGCGCTTGGCGGGTGTCAACAGGAAGCAGGCCGGTAATTAGTGGAACGGAGTAAATAAACAAGCGACTGGAAGGCTGATTTACCGCCGAGTTGCTCTGTTCCTGAGGTACCTTCCAGGACCAGCTCGTTGTCCGTATTGCTTTGAAGGGGGCTATTTTTAGAGCCGCAACCTCCTGCCCCCCCCTTCCCTGAGTATGTGATTGTGCGTGTCTAGAATTTCCCTCTGAAAGCTTTGCAATCGTAGAAGCGGTGCACCTTTTACTTGGGGACTTGAATATAGCTTTTATGTTAAGGTTTTTGTAACCCTTCCACAAGTGCTCAGATGGTACTGAAGCTTAGCCCAGGAAATAAGAAATGCCCCCAAGGATGGCGTTCTGTGGTTTGGGTGGATGAGCACTGGCTCTGTGGGGGGGGGTAGGATTTCTGTGTTGGGTCAGGATGGGGCTCAGAGGGATTTCCCTGGAGGCAGCTGGTGGGGGGTGATGTGTGGCCCGCACTGGTGCCTGATGGGCCCGGAGCGTCACCAGGACCTCAGCCAGCCCCCCCTCTCCATGCCTCCTAGTTAATTATTAAGTCACTTAGCAGATACGCATCTCCCAGTGTGTCTGGCAGGGCGGGGGCGTGGGGGTAAGCATACAGATTCGCTGAGTTCAGGCTCCTGTAAGATAGGCTTCTGCTTTTTAAGAATGATTCCAGATTGGGGGGGGGGGGGTGGTTGCATTAAGTGCGGCATTGGCGTGTCCGTTACTGCATATCTGGTGATGCACTCCATTTTGGCCACGTTGTGGTTCTTCTTCGGTGTCCCAGCTGTGCAGGAATCTTTGGCCATGGGGGGTGGGGTTGTCGTGATACTCTCCCCCCTCCTGCTTCTCGTTTACGGTTCCGCCTCTTCACCCCCCCCCACAGGACATCCAGGCAGAGATTGATGCCCACAATGACATCTTCAAAAGTGTGGACGGCAACAGGTGCAAGATGGTGAAGTCCCTGGGCAGCACAGAGGAGGCCAACTTCCTGCAGCAGCGGCTGGACGACATGAACCAGCGGTGGGGTGACCTGAAGGCCAAGTCCGGCAACATCCGGTGAGAGCCCACCCCCACACCCCCTTAATGGTCTTCTCGTGAGTATGAAGCAGGCCAAGAGAGCTGCACTTAACCGCACCCTGGACGTCATGCACTCAGCCGTGTTGAGAGCCTCAGTGATTCAGAAGCCATTTTTCAGCAATCACTCTATATTTACAATTGCTGCAGGCAGATGAGCCCCTGAGCTTAATTTGCTTTTTGTGAAATTAGCTTTAGTGGGCTGTCAAAACAAATGGTTCCCCAGCATCAGCCTTCTTGTCTCTGAGTGACCAATCGGATTTGCTTTCTGCCTGGCCCGTGTCGTCTTATTGGTTTAACGCGCAAGGTTCTTAAAATTTGATTGGATGTCACACAGATGGGCGGGTCCTAGGTTTTGTGAGGCAGGAGCCTTTCAGTGTTGTGTAGTATCGATGGACTTCAGGTCTGGGTGATTTACGTCTCGGTGTTCAGCAGTGGGATTTGATGTCTATGACTTGTCCCCTGTGCCCAGAGCCCACCTGGAGGTCAGCGCGGAGCGGTGGAGTCGGCTGCTGGCCCTCTTGGAGGAACTGTGGAGGTGGCTATGCCTGAAGGAGGAAGATCTTACCAAGCAGATGCCCATTGCGGGAGACCTGCCCAGCCTGCTGCAGCAGCACAACCACTGCTTGGTCAGTAGCCCCCAAGCAAAAGCACCAATTAACAAGGCCGTTCCTGCCACTGTGGTCACCTTCCACCTTACTGGTAGCTCCAGCTACAGTCTGACAGGCATGAACAAATGTTTCTCCAGAGGCACCTTACAACAAAACCCTGAAATACGAATAGATTTAACATCATTAGGACCACGCAGTAAAAGGTTTCAGGAGAGAGCTCGTTTTTAGGTTCTATTTTTGCTGCTGCTAAACCTCTCAAATGTTGAGGCAGAATTATAATGGTCTTGAAATAAATTAACTGTTTTTCAGCATGGGGGGGGTGTCAGTTTTACCCTGCAGGGTTTAGGTACAAGTTTAGTTGCTGTGCGGGGCTGTGCATCGACCCATCAGGACAACCACATGTTGTCCTTATGGTTGAAGACGATCAACTTCCGTTCTCATTGTTCAGGAGGATGATTATGGGATTTTATGGCTCCAACTAAGTGTTAAGATGCCGGAATTGGAATCTGAAATAATTTGTCGTGAAATGTATCATCACTAGTTTTTTTTTTGTATCCCACTTTTCACTGAGAGAGGTTTTAGTCTCCAGATTTTCGATTTTCTCTCTCAGTTGGCTATTGTTCACGGACAATGGGAGTTCCTTCACTGGAAAGTGAAAGGATCAATCTTCATTCTACAAACTGTTAAGAGGCACAAAGAGAGGGAGTTAATTTTGACAAAGGTCTATGTTAAAGGAAAGTTACCGTTCATCCATTTTGAGGGGATTTGGCTCTGGCTGGGGGACTGGAAAACGTTATACTCAAAAATCGGGTGGGTTTTGGATACGTGAGAATCACAGAGGCTGAAAAGACAGTAGAGGGGGTTGTGCCAGGACAGGATGGAGCCTTAATCGGATGGAGAGAGAGAGAGAGAGAGAGAGAGAGAGAGAGAAGGGGAGGTGTTTAAACCCTTGAATTAGCTAATGATAAATGGAGTAAATTAATCCTTCATTCCACTGGCCTTCGAAGCCTTGATTCTCCCACCTACATTTTTGCACACAGGTCAAGGTGAGAGATATTCAGTTCTTTTATCCGCAGAGTTTATTGTGAAGCAAGCTGCCATCCTTCAGCCAAGCTGTGCCCTCTGTTTACATGGTCTCTCTTATTGGCCTCTCGGGGGTCGGTGAGGCTGCTGATTTATGGATGATGCTCTTCTGCTCTTTGGAGCTGGGGAGTACGGCGAGGACGATGCGTGAACAGCTAAATATGTTTCAGTCTTTTCAGAGTAAACGTTTGTCGAATCAGGGTTGTGGCTTGTGACAGATGGACAGAGGTGGCAGAGAGACAGGTGGAGTGACACATTTTTAGGTTGACATGTTAAGACCTTCCTGTGCCTTCTGGCCTTGTCTTAGTCATGCATGACTTTCTCACTTCAACAGACCACCATGTTCAAATCTGTTCCTGCTGTCTCCTCCTTGGAGCTTCATGAAAGTAGCCATTTACTCAACTTTTCTGGTCTTCGTCATGTAAAATAGTTTGTTCCTTCAGAGCGTTTAGGGTCCTCGTTGTTGGGTTTGTCGAGGCCTCTCGTCCCTCTCACTGGGCTGTGGTTTGGAGAGCGTGAAAGAAGTAGCTTTTCTCCAAGATGGCTTCTGGCTTTGAGGTCTTGGTTTTAAAATATCCTGACGGCATTGCAATGAATTGTCTGCCTGTTTGTTTGTTCAGGAAGGATGTGTAGTGTGTTAATCTGCTGGAGATGTTTGTTGTCCTCTTCTCATAGGGGCATTTTTTTGTGTTTAAGGAAGGCAAGCTGCAGCAGCTCCTGAAGATCAGGCTTGGGCGGGATCGTTGTCTTTTGTACGGCCTCCCCCTCCATTCGTCCTTGTTTTGGCGCTTACTTTTCCTGGCCTGTACAAGGTCAAAGATGAAGTATTTAGTTAGCACTCTGATACCCTACTGATGTAGGGTGATGCTGTTGTATTCTACCAGCGATCACTGTAGCCTTCTTGGTGGTCATTGCTGTTTTTGTTTCATTGTCATGAAATGGATTTTGATGTGTCTTAGTTAATTTCAAAGCGTACTACTTGCACTTGATACCAAAGAGTAATGTTGGTGTATAAAAGCCATCCATTTTCCAGCACAGATTAGAATTGGACCCAATCACCTCTTTAGTTAGTGAAGTAATTCAGATTAACTGCTCCGTTCAAAGGTATCCCCCTCCTGTGATTTGCACAGGTGAATAAATTTTCTTTGCGTTCTCCAATATTTAAAACAAAATGTTGGGGTTAATTGAAAAGTTCTGTTTGTTTGAAATGAGCCAGTATTGGGAGACAAACTGCTCTGTCTGTTTTTGATCAGTGTTTATCTACCAATTTTTGCATGTAATGGGTTGTATTAATCACGCATTTCATTATCTGAAAGGAAAGAGAAACAGTGTGTTGTGTGAATGATTAAACCCATCAGTCAGTGTTATTAAATTAGCGGAATGCTTGTCTTTGGTACATGCTAAATTGCACTAAAATAATCTCACCCCTTTGGGCCGTGCCATTATTCTGCCTTACGAAGCTACGCGCTGTTGCATGCGTTCCAGCAGAGTGCCAAATGAATAGTGTAAATCATAAAATGTAATTCTGAGTAGCTTTTTTTGGGAATAACAGAATTACTGCAACAGTATATCTGCTTGATGCTTTTGAAGTTTTTACGAACTGGTTTACAATATAATTATGAAATTATAGGCACTACGGAAGTCACCTTGTAAATATCTTGTATAGCGAAAGGTTTATACCCTGAAGCCCTTGTCTCCTGCCGTCAGACCGCTTGTAATGATTTTGTGCAAACTTTAAAACTGTTTTATTATGGAAAGAAATTTAGACAGCTGTTAACTGTAGTTTCAGTCTCATTCCTCTTAGTAATTACACTGAGGATGTATACATTCCGAACACGTCATTATTAACTGTCTGACAGTTGAACCCGCAGCCTCTTGTTGACTCTCATAACTGGTATATTCGATGCTTGTTGAGATGAATGGGGGCTGGATGGCTGAACCTCTCTGTCTCGGCCTTTTTCTGTGACTTAATGGAAACGATTCCCCCTTCACATCGAGGAGACGTTGAACAATGTGAGCAGGCTCTGATTTTGAAGCTGAAGACTCTGCTATCTCCCGGGTCGGCCGACGTGGAACCTAAATTAAGTTTTGGCTGAGTTCAGGCTGTCGTCCTTTCTGGGACCCTCGACGCTATAAACAGCTGAAAATAGCCACCCCCTCCCTTGTGATTTTTATCAGCTGTGTGCCTTCTTATCAGCAGAAGGCATTCCGCAGGGGCTGGGGGGGTGACTATGGCTTCATCTACAGCCACCTTGTCTCTCAGGAGCCCTCAGCCAAGGTCACTGCTGGAGGAAAGGTGCCTGATTGTGGATCCATGCTGTTGGTTCTGAGTTTTCAACCTCAGTTATGTCTTTGTACTATGTAGGTCCTTGTCCTGAGACTTGTACTGTGTAGGTCCTTGTCCTGAGACAGAGGCTACCGAATGATGTCTCACTTATCTGTTGTTGTCACATGTAAGACGAATAGTTGCTGTGAGACCTAATTTTGATCATACGTGATGGTAGTGTGGCTGCAGCCTCTAACAGAGGGGTGAAGCTTTTGGTGTCTTGGGCGTCCAGCTTCTCAGAGGAACCCATATCATTCAGGGTTCTGAACCACACATGCCTGGAAATTGGGGAAATCGGGTTTCGCTGGGTTCCCTCCGGCAGCACTAGGATTCAGTGGCAGCGGTCAAGTACGAAGCAGTTGGGCCGGAGTGAGGCGCATTTACGGGTATTTGTGGCCGGTCTGATGTCATGTAAAATCTCATTAATCCTGCTCTGTGTCCTTTTGGCTGATAGTGCTAGTGCAGCAATGGTTTAATCAAAGGATATCAGCAGATCTAAGAGCACCTGGTCTGAAATCCCTTATCTGGTTTTCCCCATTAGAGAATGTGGGATGTAGTTTTAAAGATGCTGTTTGTTTTTGAACAACAACACGTATGATGCATGAAGCCAGGGAAACCAGCACCTGTTAGCTTATGCATGTACATGTGTCTCTACACACGTTTTACATTCATACATGCATGTGCATTAGTATGTCTGCACACGCCCCGCCGTCGTAGGGACCAAGCTCCCCGTCCCCCTACTTCGTCTGGGATCACGGCACAGTCTGGTGGTTTTATCTGCCGGACCGCACCGCCGCCTCCTGCAGGACCTGCCACGCTTTCTCTCCACCCCCCCCCCCCTTCATGCTGAGGTGACCCACGCACGCTGGTGGGATATGTTGGCTTACTCACCTCCCCCGTCGAGAAGCCTTGGATGTGCCGCTTGACAAGAAGACATGAAATGATTCTTTTCTTTGCCATCTCCACATGTATGAGTACCGGTACTCTGGGACGCCACATGTATGAGTACCGGTACTCTGGGACGCCACATGTATGAGTACCGGTACTCTTGGACGCTTCTTTCTCGCCTGTCCCACTTTGTTCTCCTTTGGGACACGCAAACATATATATACACTGCATCTGAGTGCAAGGTCAAGCCATTTATCCAGCCCCCTTGGAGCATTTTGGAGGGTGAGGGGCCTTAGGACCCAACGATGATGTGACTGTTCTGTTTAGGACAGGATTCTAATCGGCAGTCTTCTCATCACAGGCACAGAGCCGCAGAAAAACCTGTAAAATATGTGTATTCTGATCATCTGACAGCTGGTTTCATTTAGCGCTGTCTGAAGCGTCACACTTGTGTCCACAGTAACTTCATGTTGATGGTCGGTCCGTGTCTTTGCTTCTTGTCCTCCACACAGCTCCTGCAGGACGAGCTGAAGGATCGAGAGCCACTCGTGCTCAGCACTCTGGACCAGGCCCGTGCGTTCCTGGCCGACCAGCCCATCGAAGGTCCAGAGGAACCAGGCAGGAACCTGCAAGCCAAGACAGGTGAAGCGGCTACATGATCAGTGGGACGGCAGCTATCTGGGGGAGGGGAGGGGGCCAGAGGTGCC